AGCCTTCTCTTCTCCAGGCTAAACAACCCCAGTTCCCTCAGCCACTCCTCATAAGGCTTGTTCTCCAGACCCCTCACCATCCTTGTGGCTCTTCTCTGAACACGCTCCAGAATCTCAACATCCTTCTTATAGTGAGGGGCCCAGAACTGAACACAGGACTCGAGGTGCGGCCTCACCAGTGCCAAGTACAGGGGGATGATCACCTCCCTGGACCTGCTGGTCACACTGTTTTTAATACAGGCCAAGATGCCATTGGCTTTTCTGGCCACGTGGGCACAGTGTTGGCTCATGTTAAGCCGACTGTCAACCAACACCCCCAGGTCCTTCTCCTCCAGGCAGCTTTCCAGATTTTTTGTCAACAAAATCACAGCCCTGCAGGCGCGTGCATGTCTCTAACTCCTCTTGTTTATTCTCCATGCTACGTGTGTTTGCATAAAGGCATTTAAGTTGGGCCCCCTGAAAAGACCTTGTTTTGGTCCTTTGTGTTTCTTGGTGAAGTGTAAGGAGCCAAACTGGGGTGATGTGCTTCGCAGCGCACTGGCTGTATGCTTCAGTGGATGACTGCTCTGGGTAGGGAAGTGGATGACTGCTCTGTGTAGGGACCTCTTCTTATAGGCTCTGCACCACCAGGTGCAGCAACAGCGTTTGACACTTCTTGGAGAAATACAACAAAGAGTTCTTCCCTGTACAGTTTCTTTTATAAAATAGAATATGTAGACAAAATGCTAGGCAAGATGTTAGATGATCTGGGAATTATACTCTGGTCTCTGCCATTGAGTTTCTCAGCAAACTTAGGCAAGCTGACATTTAACCTCTGTAACTTCTGTCAAGGAGAGAATATTTACCTACCAAACTGAAAGCATCTTGCAAAGGATAATGAGTGGAAAGCATTCATAGAAGCTGTTACGGAACAACAATGACTTATCATAATTCTTACTCTAAATTTAGTTGATTCTTTTTATTCTTAAGATTAATTCACACAAAAATTTGTCCTCTTGCCCTTTTAATTTTGAATTTATAGCTCTCCAGCTTATTTTTTATTTTCTGCATGAAAACACTTTTTAAAAATTATCTATTATGCAAACTATACAGTTTCAAGAGACTGTGAGAGACCCATATTGCTATGCATCACATGTATATTCATAAGATTTGTTCTGAGACATTTTCAATCTAAATTTATTAAAGAAAGAGAATGAATACACTAAAAACAAAAGAACTAGAAACAAAGTAAAGGAATATAATAGTGTATTAATAAATAATAACAGAAATAATAAATCATAAGCCATCTGTTATGAATTCTGTAAATTTTTATAGAAATATTTATGTCAAACTACTGCATGGATTTACAGTATGGTTTCCTAGCTTTTCTGGCACTGCATGAGAGGAAGGAAGCAACTAAGCACATGAACATGGAGAGCAACCGGAAAGCATGCCTGATACCTTCTAGAAGCACCGAAATCATTCTGTGAGATATTGTGATTGCACTGACCAGATGGTATAAAGAACTGACTCATAAAGCATTGGACCTTTTGCACTTTTGCTCAGAAATCATAATATTTTTGTGCTGTGGATGTACCTTCACACAAACAATACACAGCATCTAGCATTCACAGTCTAGGTAAGACCTTTCATCAGGGACAGAACTACTGCACATCCAGAAAATTTGAATGAAGAGCAATGTTTCCAGGTGGCAAAATAGATGCACGGGTTGAAGGGAAACCCAACAGTTGTAAGGCGGATGGATACAGATTATAACTATGCAAAAGGTATGTATGGAAGTTTGATGAGTGCAGGACAATAAATTAGCTTTTCAGAAAGACTCTTTCCTATGTCTCATGACAAAGTGTGTCTCATAGGAACTGTATATTTAAATGATGTCGTTATATTCAGTACTAAATCCTGTTTTGCCACTGGTGCTTTTGCCACAGATGAATTAAAGTAAAGCTTGTTCTAACAAGGTTAGCTCTTGCATAGCACCTTTTATGTCACAAGAATTTCATAAATATTGAATAAAGCTCAAACTGTAAATACAGTACCAAACTCCTTGGGTACTTAGAAATAAACATTTACCTCAGACATAAAACATCTTGCATAAAACTATGGAAGATGCTATCAGTCCACTCATTGAAATACAATGTTAAAATGGTTTATTTCTAAGAAATGAAAAAAAAAAGTCTTTCTATTACATGAAAAAATATTATTTTGCCAATATCTTGCTGGGCTCAGCCCAACATTAGGCCTGCAGCCCTAACAGATGAATGGATGATCACTCCCGAGTCTTTAAGTCAGGGAAGCTGTAGGAAATCTAGCAACGCGTCAGCTCCTTGTGTGCCGAGAGCAATGATCTCTAAGTAATTTCACAAAAAATTGAAAAGCTATTTGGATTAATTCTTTTTCCAGTGGCATTTTTAACTCTGTACAAGTTTATTGTTGGTGACTAAGAAATCAAGGCATCTCCTAAGTTCAAGTAAAGCTAAGTTACTATTCCTTTTTGCTCTCTGATGCAGTTTATGGTGCAGAATATACACTGCCAATATTATCCAAAATTCCTTAGATCTTGAGTACAATCTCTTCCTTTTAACAGGTAGTTTTGAACTACTTTTTGGATCTTTATTAACAAGTCCAGTAACAGTACTGAACGGGAAAAACTGGGAAAACAAAAGAAACAAGAAATGTGAAGCAGACACAGAGGCTAAAGCTACATTCCTGTAATAGCTCACCCTTTTTTATGACCATAGACCTTAAATCTGAATGATAGAGCAGTTCAAAAAATGAAGCAGTATTACTTCAGCTTTAAAAGAGCATATGTTTTTGCATTGGAGAATTTATTAGATCTGTGGAACTCTATTCTCTTGATGTAACCTCTCCTGGCTCACTTTTCTCCTGTGTATTAGTTCTACTGAAGCTACTGAGCTATAACAACCAAGGCCATCTCTTCCCTTTTCTTCTCAAGTCATATCATTACCATGAGACCCCTACAGACTGGACCTCCTAAAGAGATCTCTGAATCTAAAAAAGACCTAAAAATAAATATTACACAAGCATTACTGAGCAAATGGAAAAGAAATCAACAACCGTTCTATGATGCTGTGATTCACTCCCTGAAGGTAGGCACTGCATCATTTCCCAGAAGACTATAATGGTCTTTCACATTTCAGTCATCTTGATAATTGCCTTCCACGATGCT